TAGCAACAACATCCAAGGTCAGGTTTATGGTACAGTGGGCTAAGCCACCACCTGTAACGCCAACAGCGGTTCAAGTCCTGAGTCTGAGCCACTAACTCTACTAATCCACCTGGAAAAGCAGTAGAAAATGGCCTCAGTGTAGTCACCTGTGCCCACCTGGGAGACGTTGGAGTCCCAGACTCTTCACCCTCACCTGGCCCACCCCTATCTGTTGTGGCTACCTGGAGAGTGAACCAGAGAATGGAATTTCTCTCTCTCTCTCTCCTACTCTCTGTAAATTTGCATTCAAATAAAAATACATAAATCTTTCAAATTTTTTTTTTTTTAAAGATTTATTTTTATTATTTTTTTATTGGAAAGGCGGATATACAGAGAGGAGAGACAGAGAGGAAGATCTTCCATCCGATGATTCACTCCCCAAGTGAGCGCAACGGGCCGATACTATGCCGATCCGAAGCCAGGAGCCTCTTCCGGGTCTCCCACGCGGGTGCAGGTTCCCAAAGCTTTGGGCCGTCCTCGACTGCTTTCCCAGGCCACAGGCAGGGAGCTGGAAGGGAAGCGGGGCTGCCGGGATTAGAACCGGCGCCCATATGGGATCCCGGGCGTGCAAGGCGAGGACCTTTAACCACTTGCGCCACCGCGCCGGGCCCTCAAATTTTTTTAATATGACTTTGGGCTGGCTCTGTGGCACAGCATGTTAAGCCACTGGTTGTAATGTTAGCATCACATTTTGGATAGCCAGTCGGAGTCTCAGCTTCTTACTTGCAATGCAGCACCCTACTAATGTGCCTGGGAAGCCAAGGTAAGGTGGTCCAAGAGCTTGGACCACACACAGATCACCCACTAAGTAATCTCCTGGCTCTTGGCTGGACTGGAACAGCCCTATCTAACTGTTGCCACTGGGAGAGTGAACCAGTAGATGATGATCTCTTTACCACTTCATGTCAAATAAATAAAAGCAATCTTGAAACACTTGATAATATAATGAGTTAAACCACTATGCATTTTAATAAAATTGGAACTGCATGAGGCATTTAGAAATAACAGCCCCTGTGTGACGGGAGAGATGGAGAGCAGGCACGTCAGGGTGCGAGACTGCTGAAAGGCTTCTTGGCTAAAGCTCAAATTCACGTTCCCTAAACGCTCGCCCAATAAAAAGGTGTTAGCTTTTGACTATTCAGATCAATATGCAACATGGTTGGAAACATCCAGAAGGTCATCAGTTGTCATATGTTGTTTTTAAGATTTACTTATTTTTTTATCGGAAAGGCAAAACAGACAAGGGAGCTTTAAGGGAAGAGAGAGGTACTGAGAGCCTTTGGGAAGTAACCCCCAGACAATATCCAGCATGTCTCCACACCCAAATTCAATGCAATCCAGAACAGCCTTTACCCCTAACCCTTCAAGCAGTCTGGGAACTAGACAATAAGTATCTGCTCCTCACTCTGAGCTTTGCAATAAACACCTGCTTTCATCTCAGTGTTAACCTACTGAGCTGCTGGGCAGCACGCAAATTCACTCACATGGTGGGGTTCTGTAACACCAGCAACATGCTAAGGCTTCAACACATACTAATTGGGATCATAAATACCACAGCAACCCTGTGATGCAGGTCCTATTGTCAGCTTTATTTTATGGAGGAGAAAGTGAAGGTCCTGCAAGCTATCCAGCCTGCTCAGGGTCATTCAGCCTTTGTTTCTAGGGCCTGTGTGTCTGACTGTGGTGCTCTACATCTAACAGACATCAGCAACAAGTAGGGCATGAGGAACAGGGAGGAAGCACAGGTGACATACCGCTGGCTTGTTCCTGAGACACACATTGGAAAGTATGTTTGGGAAGAAAGTTATTTGAGAGAAACGTTACCTTGAATTCTTGCGGTGATGGCATGGACGATCTCTAGCATATCGTTCGATAAAAGAGATTTTTCTTTCTTTCTTCTTCCTCTTTTTTCCTTCCTCTTAAAAGATTTACTTGAAAGGCACAGTGACAGAGAGCAAGGGAGGGGGACAGTGAGCAATTTTCCATTGCTGCTTTACTTCTTAACCACAGTAGCATGAGTTGGACCAGGCTAAAGCCAGGAGGCATGAATTCAATCCAGAAGTGCCAAGAGGAGAGCAGGCACCAAGTGTTTTGAGCCATTGTGTGCTTCTTTCTTAAGCATGTTAGCAGGGAGATGGAACTGAGACGAGCACGCTGATAGGGGATGCTGGTCTTGCTGGAAGTGTTGTTACCTGATGTGCCATAAAGCTGACCTCTCAAGACACATTCTACTAGAAGCTGCATGTTTAGAAGACATGGCATGCAGTCATGAGCAGAGGACAGATATCTTACAGACTTCTTTGTAAGGCAGATTTGAGAGAAAGAGAGAGGAGAAATTGAGAAGGTCTTCTACCTGCTGTTTTAGTTTCCAAATGGCCACAATGGCGAGAGCTGAGCTGATCTAAAGCTGAGAACCTGGAACCTGGAGCCTGTTCTGAATCTCCAATGTGAGTGCAGGAGCCCAAGGAATTGGGCCATCCTCCAATGCTTTTTCAGGCCATGCTAATGGGGACCTGGACTGGAAAGAGAGCAGCTGTGGCCTCTGCAAATAAAACAAACAAATAAAACACCTTTCAGAGGTTGGTGCAACAGGCTAACCCCACCCCAGCCCCCCAGGCAACATCATCATGCCATGTGGGAGTACAGATTCAAGTCCCAACGTTATGCTTTTAATCTAGCACCCAGCTCATGAGCTGGGGAAAGCAAATAAAGGTGGCCCAAGTATTTAAACCCCTGCCCCCCCACACCTGGGAGCCCCAAAATGAAGCTGCAGGCTTCAGCCCGGCCTCTGGCCATTTGGGTGATGAACTGACCTGTGGAAGATTCTCTCTATCCCACCACACCTCTCACTCTCTAACCCTGCCTTTCGATTAATAAAAATATTTTTTTTAAAACTGCATTTCCCACCAATGAATCTTAACTTTTTTTCTTTCTTCCCATTCCTCTGTTTTCCTACCTTGTTGCAAAGGAAAGACTCCTTTCTAAGGTTTGAACTACACTCTCCATCTATATTCTGGGTCCTTTCTCTTCTTTTCAAAGACTCTAAATAGATCATTTCCTCTCCTATTCTTAAACTCGGTTTATCCTGTGTTCTCATTTTCATTTAAACATTCTTGAATTCCAGTTACACATGGATTAAATCTTTGATAAGACGCACCACCCACACGTAAGGTGCCTAGGTCCACAGAGTAGCAGTTCTCCAGGAACACTGAGACGTTCTTAGGCCCGGGCGGCTCGTGAACGAAAAGAGCTGAGGATGAGGGGCACAGGAAGTTGGAGGCGCTCATCACACTCCTTCGGTGGCTCTCATCTCCCGGCAGAGAGCGCGCCGAGGATCGAGGCTTTGGCCAAGTCCGCAGGAGCGTTTGGCGAGGCGCTGAGGAAACGAGGCTCAGGCCTTGCCTCTCAGAGACATTTCCTCCTTCCATTCACAGACACTTAACAGCGACGCGGCCCGAGCGCGGCCCGAGCGCGGCCCTCGGCTTCCGCAGGAGGTCCCTCAGGGCTCTAACTTTCCCAAGTTTTCCCCACACTCCACTTAGAGGCTGTGTCGGAAGTCAGCTTAGGGCCCGCAGGACGGCAATGTGGCCTCTCCGGCTGTCTCCACAGACAGCCCGGCGGGAGCAGCCGCCCGTCCACCGCCGCCCGTCCACGTGGGCGCCCCTCCCGGGGGCGGGCCCGGGGCGGGGCCACGAGCAACGCGCGGCCGGCCCCGCCCCTGGGTGTGGCCCCGCCCCTGGGGCTCCCATGGCCCCTCGCGCCCCTCGGCCAGATGCTGACGTGTCCTTCCCTTCCCACCACACCTCCCGACACCGCCCCCTCCCCGCTGCCCCGGAAGTCCCGCCCCATCCCCGTCCCCTCACCGCAAATCAGCTTTTTCAGCGCTTCCTGGTACTCGGCCCTCGATTTGGAACTGAGGGGCGGAGCTCCGAGGGCAGGGTCCCTATTGGTTCGAGCTCCGGCGGGCTCTGGGAGCTCATTGGCTGGAGGGCGGTGGCGCTCTGGCACGCTTGCGCGGCGAGTAGAACGTGTGGCGGCGGCGGTGGCGATCGCGTCTCCTCTGGATCCCCGAGTCCTGCTGTGGCCGCTGTGATCGCCCAGCTAGCCGGAGCGGTGCACTGCCGGCAGCAGCTCGACCTCCGCGCCTCGCCTCGCCTCGGCAGCCCCTCGCCAAAGCCGACACCCGCGTTGGTGGCTCCAGCCCGCCGGCCCGTAGCACTCGCAGCCTTGCCTTCTGCACACATGGCCTCCTCCGCGCAGAGCGGCGGCTCCTCCGGGGGACCCGCCGTCCCCACCGTGCAGCGGGGCATCGTCAAGATGGTGAGAGCGGGGCCCGGGAGCTCGAGGCAGGCGTGGACTCCGCTTGCCCTCCCGCCAGATCCTCCTTTCCCTCCGTCCCCTGCCTCACTTCTCACCCACCCCTCGAGTTGTCCTCACTGGACGGCCACCGAGTCCGTGTCTTCCGACACCTAGGCGTGCGGGGTTCCAGGGGTTTACTTAGATCTCCTGGCTGTGGGCAGGACGGAGCCCCCTAACCCTAACCCCCACCCCACTCTTTCTGTCCCTACTGACCCGTGATGAAAGTTTGCAAGTTTTCGAGATTCTGACATCTGTTGTCTGGAACCCGAGAGACTTGGCCAGCCCTGAAGATCTTGTTTTCCCTGACATTCAGTTCCTGACTCCAGACTTTTTTTTTTTCTCTCTCTTGGTCCTCTAGTCGTCCTGGCCCCGCACCTCTAATGTCTGTGCCTGGTTTTCTAGGCCCAAGAGCTGGGTGGTGTCCTTTAGACTCCAAAAATGTGAGGCCGGCAGGAGTGCTGGAGCGCCCTGTGGTTACTCCACCCCTTACCGCCTGCAAGTGGCTTGCCTCAGGGCACATGGCGGTTTGGGTTGGAGCCAGGGCGGGCGCAGGCAGGTTCTGACCCTCAGACCGGGTGCTCCTAACAGCGGATCTGGCCCATTTTGTGACTCTTCACTTTCTGAATGTAACCCAGGAAGTTTATTTAAAAAATGGAGCTCCAGCTCTATGATCCTGTAACATTTTGTCGGTCCCCCGTGTGCCTTGATCCAGCTCCTAGCCTTTTCAGATCCTGGAACCGAGCAGTTTTGGGGGTGCGGTGGGGGGTTTTGTTACCGTGTGTTGTGGTTACAATGGCCATAACGTCTAGATTTCGTTTCATTTTGCAGTTCTGACTCTTCCATATGGAACAGCAAAGACCCTCTGACAGTTTCTCCCAAATTCTCACAGCTTTGTTGTAAAAGGTTTTACTAACCCCTGCGATGTGGACCCATTGTTACCAGGTTTAAACCATTCAGCAGCTTATGTGTGTGAATTTGGTTCAAAATTTCCTTTGCGTCTCTAAGTTAATAATCTGCCACCAGCTGAAGGTATCTAGATTTTGTCTTTTTCTCTTTATTCATACATATCGGAGCATCAGAAACTTACCAGAAACTGAAGGAGATGGAATTTGCAAGGCCCATGTATTCCTCTTTGAAATATTCACCTGAACCATGGATGCATTATCTTGAAGTGGGTCTTTCTTCAGCCTTTTCATTTCCTCTGATTTTTGCCCTAGGGACAAAGCAGGGCTTGGCTATCTTGTGTTGGGATCTTTGAATTTTGCATTGATGTGGCTGGGATTTGTCTTAAAGACCGTCCTTTCTGGTGGAGTGTTCCCACTGAGGCTGCAGTCAGTGAGGTGACTGCCTGCTTGTCAGTTACCCTGGACATATGGCATCTTGGGCTGAGTGCTCTGTTCGTGGTTAGTAAGATTTCAGAATGTGGTAAGATGATGGACTGCATTTTGTAGGTGTTTGATGTATGGTTTAGAAAGCAGAGTCCTTCTATTGGTTCTCATTGCCGAGACCTAAGCCTGCTCTGTCTGTCAGAGTACGCGCTCTCTCTGGTCATGCCATGTTGCTTCTGGCTTCAGGACCTCTGGGTGGGGCCAGTGATGCCTGGCCACAAATTGCAGGAAAGTGGAACTGACTGTAATTTACTTGAAAGAAGATGAGATGTTAGTCCTTGTCTTGTCCCAGAGCTGCCGTCACAGTGACTTCATTTCACACCTTAAGGCCTTTGCGTGCACAGAAGTGTGGTATAAAGGATGCTTGAGTTTGGGTGGTGACATTTGCAGTTCTGTGACCGGTGTGGTCTTTGCTGTGTACACACTGCACTGTGTGCAGAGACCATACTGCAGGTTACAGGCAGGGATCAAGGAGGGAAGCTAGGTGAGCCACAAAGCCAGAGGCAGGGCTGTGCTGGGCTTGGGGCCCTGTCTGGAGATCGCTCTGTGGGAAGCTCTTCTGCAAAGAAACGTGGATTTTCTTGGAGAGTGATGGCTTTCAGTGAGTCCTAGGAACTGCTTTGTAAGAACGCTACAAAGAAAGATGAAGCTTTGTGTTACAGGCAAATAAGGAGCGTGTGTCAGAAGTGAGGGACACTGCTCTCCTGCCTGGCAGGGGCTGAGGTGGGGCCCTGACCAGTCGGGGGTGTGCTGCCCCCGCTGAGCCAGCTGCTTGGCCTGGGTGCCCATTGGCTGTAGTCGGGAGGAACGAACCTTCCTCTTTTCTGGCTAAAGTGTCGCAGGGCTGTGCTAATTCAGGTTTCTGTGGTATCTGCTGTGCCTGCCTAATGAACGCCTGGGTTTGTTTCTTTTGTAAGGCTGGAGAAAGAACTTGTCAAATAAATTGTAGAAATGACCCACTAGTTTGTTTGTTTCTCATGTTGATGCTTGTGGTGGTGTCTGCCGTTGTGAGTGAGGACGAAGGGGCAGGGTTGCTTCTGGAATGTGTGAGAAGAGGAAGTGGGCAGTAAGCTGACACACGAGCATTTCGGAGCCGTTCTGTTACTGACACAGTCAGCGAGGCTGGTGGAAAAACTGAAGATGGATTTTTGTTTTGAGCTTTAGGAGAGCAGCAAGCGTGTGGGTAGAGGAAATGTAACTTGGTAAGTAAATGTCTTTGTCAGTGCAGATCTTACTTTCTTAAAACCCAGACGGATTCTAACTCCAGGTTTCTTTGAATAATTCAGCTGCTACGGAATATTATCAGCAAATGTTGTTTGTTAGAAATCTTAGTACTGAAGTATAAGATTCAGTCGTCCTGAATGGCAGCTACTCAGAGCACGACTTTCTCTGGCTTTCCTGACCTGCTTCCTTCGTTTTGGGAACTGAGCCCTCTTCTGTGTTTTTCATTCTCCTTTTCCCTCCTCACTGAGTCTGTTTGCCTGTCTTAGAGTGGATCTGCTGAAATCCTCAGAAGTAGCCGTGCAAGTCCATGGGCTAGCCAGCTGCTGACGGGCAGGCTGCAGGGAGCAGAGTAACCCAGCCCGGGTGGCTGCCGTGTCACCACAGCCTCGACCCCAGCCCTTGATTGCCTCCCAAGGTGAAGGGGATTGCTCTACCAGGCTTGACTTTTGTACTAAGAGCCATGATTCCCCCTGGCTAAGTGGCTAAGGTCACCCAAAAGAGGAGAGGGCCATAGTTTTTGCTTCCTGCTGAGTATCTTAGTGGAACTTTCTTTGGTGCACAGCCTATACTTGTGATTTCGCTCACTACAGCCGAATGTTTTGTAATCTCAGAGGTGTGTGTCTTCCCAGGATTGAGTGGGGCAGAGCAGTCAGTTCACCTGCTCCCTTGTATGTGTACTCAGCTAATGTAGGATTTTCTTTAAAAAAAAAAAAAAGAAAGCACCTTGGCTCGGGCAGTGGCATGGAAGACTGAGCCCTGCCTTTGGTGCTGGCGTACCACACAGACATCGGTGCAAATCCTAGCTGCTCTGCTTCCCATCCAGATCCCTGTTCATGGGCTGAGAGGGTGGGGGGCCTCTGCACCCAAGTTGGAGAACCAGAAGAAGCTCCTGGCTCCTGGTGTCAGATTGGCTCAGCTCTGGCTGTTGAGGCCCCCTGGGGCGTGAACTATCAGATGGAAGATCTCTCTGTAACTGTACCTTTCCAATAAAAATAAGTATTGTTTTTTTAAAGACACCTTTCCTAAAGTACTAAATGCCCTTATTCTACTACTCAAAAGGATAATAATGCAATTGAATGATAATGTTTAAAGGGTTGCTTGCAAAGAAGTAAGTAAAGTAGGAGGGTGAAAGTTTCTCATGATAGTTTTAAATAAATGCTCATGTCCTATCAGGTCGGCATGGTAGCTTACAGTCAGGATTGCAACTAAAGGAAAAGTAAGTTTTTATTCAAATCGATCTCATTTGTGAACCAGAAGCCCAAGTAGCTCTAGTTATGGCAACAGTAAGTACTGCTGCGAAAGAGCATCAGCAGTCCTCTGTCCATCCTTTCCTGCACAAATAAAAAAAATTATTGATCATCATGCGCTGTCTGGTCATTGAAGTGGAAATAAAAAGAAGTAGATTTGACCTCTGCCCTTGTGATTCATGGGCTGGACAGACGATAAAGGAGTGAGATGAACAGAGCGTGCTGTCCAGCAGGGGACAGTGCTTGCAGGAGAGGTGGTGGGCATCCAGGAGGCAGCCACAGGGAAAGTGTGCGCCCAGCAGGGATCAGCAAGTGCAAAGTCCATGGGGTTTGCTGGGTGATTATTCCTAAGTGCTGTTGCAGTAGCTCTTCAATTTCTTAAAGTTCAGTGTCCCACATAAATGCTGTAAATCAAGGGACTGGATGGTACATGTGTTCCAGGTGACAGAAGGAAGAGAGGCAGTGTAGTAGTTATTGTTCTAGAACCCTTGAGGTCAGTATCTGACATAAAGCCCACTTGCTAGTTTTTAAGAATGGGAGACTAATTAAAAAAAACCTTGCTTTTGCTTGGATGCTTGTTTCTTATGGAAACTATGACTAAGAGTTTGTAACTTCTTTTCAGCTGGTCCCGCGTATTTCCAAAGTCACTCTTTTCCCAGGAATGGGAGGGATGTGGGTGAAATAGGTGAGTCAATGTCAAAAGCAGGCTCAGGAAGAGTTGAACAGAATCTTGAGTGTGGCTGTGTTGATACTTCTCTTAAGATTGTGCTGCTGCATGGAATCTGCTGGAGTTCTGGCCTGGGGCAGTGCCGTCCAGCTTAGCGAGCTCCAGTGGCCAGTGTTCATAGAGGCAGATAGCACACACAAGGCTCAGGCTGATGGCAGGGAGGCACTGGCTCCTGCACTGGGTGGGTTGTGGGTGTGGGAGGGGACTGCCGAGGCTGGTAGGCACCAGGGATGAGTGGGCAATGAGTTGGTAAAGGATATGTCCCAATTTACTTGGAGTGTGAGATTTGGGAAATGTGTTTCTTTTTGTGGGTTCAAACGAGAAAGGTGGCTAGGTGTTTGAATCCAGGTAAGGAGCTCCGTGGACCTGTTGAGTGCTCTCTGTTCATCTTGCTTCCTGGGGCAGGGCCGCACACACAGTGTCTGCTCCCACTTCCTCTCCCAGGAGACTGACAAATGCTTTTTATGTTTATGGCAGAAACTGATGCAGAAGCACAGGTTGTGAATATTTGATGCAGATGGAGTGTTGAGGGATTTCATTTACTCTCAGTGAGACGCAATAAGATAAATTAATGTTATGTATTTTCTCACTTGGCTCTAATGTTTCAGAAAAAAAATGAACAGTAGTTTCAGTTGGCATTTTTTAAACTGTAAGAAATTAAGCAACTTAAACAGGAACAGTGCAATTAATGAAAATGCTGGTGTTGCTTTGACATGCCATTTTTGAAATGCTTGATCAGTGCTGTGGGCCTAGCCTGGCACCTTTTATCCATTTATTTGCTTGTAGTGCCATCATGTCTCTTTGCCTTAATGAAGATTGAGGTGAGATGCTTTAAGGTGTCTCTGAGGGGAGTGAACTGCCTGGGATGTGCTTGTAATAACCAACCTCATTTACCACACTAAGCAACTAGAGAGATTTGAGGAAGCTTTGCTTAAAATTAATCAAAATATTTGCATTGTCCCTTGGATGCATTGTGACAGAAGGAGAGATTATTGGCCTTCGAGTTGGGTTTAAGTTCTGGCCTGGGTGCTGCCGTACTCGGTCTGGGGCGGTTAGGGACATATTCTGGCTCAGACTCAACACTGGAGTGAGGTGGCTGGGTGAAGTGTCTCCAAGCATCTTCTGGTCCCCTAAGGCTGTGATTATGTAAGAAACCCTATATTTTTTTTAGGTTTGTTGAAGCACAGCAGAGAAATCTCTTATTCCTTATGGCAGGCTTGAGTTCCTATCCTACAGGAAGCTTGTTTTCTGTTCTTATTCCTTGTTTGCTGCTTTTTGGAGGAGATGGCTTAGTTACAAGAGACTACACATACAGAGTTTGAGTAAGTCTCATATGAAGGTGGATAGAATAAAGAGAGGCTCTGGGATTTTCTGGAGTGGAGTCAGGATCAATTAGTGGGGTCGCATGATGGCTCGAGCGCAGCATAGCCTGGCACCATGGGTTGAGCCACCCTGGCTCACCGGTCCTTCGGAACACTGCAGTGTTTTCCTAGAGCAGCAGGACTTGAGAAGGGTGGGAGTGAGGGAGGGAAGTCAGCTTCTAGGTCATGGAGAGAGCCAGCATTTGCCCCACTCCTGGTGGAGGCGCTGTGGTGGGAGTGGGGTCCCTGCTGGGTTCTGAACCCTGCTCTGCCCCACTCTGGTAGAGGTGCTGTGGTGGGAGGGGGGGCCTGCTGGGTTTTGACCCTGTTCTTGGGAGGCGTCTGGATTCTTGTTTCTGCTTTTGCATCCTCTATACTTTAATTTTCTGTGCAAGTGTAAGAATCATCTTGATTTATTCTTGTTATTTGCTCACACGATTTCCTTCCTTTACGCTTATTTCTTAGTCATGAATTCTCCCTGAGGGGTAGGGTTTGAGTGAGAAGGGAGCCCAGTGATTTTTCTAAAACAGATTACTGCGTCGGTACCATTTAAGTGGAGACCTTGTGAGGTACTGAATTAGAATCTCTGCCAATGGTCTGGGAATCTGTATTTTTAGCAAGCCCTTGGTAGGCAGTTCTGAAGGAGTAAGTTTGGTTTTGATATTGTTGATCTTGGGGCTTTGAGACCCGGTGAGCTGGTTTAGCTTCTCTACTGTATGTGGTTAAAGGACACATGGTGAATGACGTGTGTGATGGGGAGCAGGTGCACCCACATTTGATGACCGGAGGAGTGGCCTCTCATTTGGATTACTCCCAGGGCATTTTAAAAAGATTTATTTATCTTTCATTGGAAAAGTTAGATTTACAGAGACAAGGAGCTATAGAGAGAAAGATCTGTCCACTGGTTATTCCTCGGGTGGCTGCAACGGCTGGAGCTGAACTGATTTGAAGCCAGGAGCCAGGAACTTTTTCCAGATATCCCAAGTGAGTGCAGGGTCCCAAGGCCTTAGACTATCCTCTACTCCTGTCCCGGGCCACATGCAGGGAGCTAGATCGGAAGTGGAGCAGCTGGGATACAAATTAGCGCCCAAATGGAATCCTGGTGCATACAAGGTGAAGATTTGGCCACTGAGCCAATTCTTGGTCCCTCAGGGCACTCTTTTTTTTAAGGATTTGTTTATGATATGAAAGGCAGTATAACAGAAAATATGATTTCTCATCTGCTGGTTCACTCTGCAGGGACTGGGCCGCGCAAGGCCAGGAGCCAGCTGATGTTGAGATCTGCCTTGCAGGTGGCTGGAATCCAAGTACTTAAGCCATCACCTGTTGCTGTTTGTTGCCTCCTCTTAGCTAGATCAGAACAGGAGTAGCTGGGCCTCAGATCAGTGCTCTGATGATGATGTGCAGGCGTACGGAGCAGGGTGGTGGTCCCAGATCCCAAGGCATTTTGTGTTGCTTTTAATGCCTACGTCTTCTGGGGCTGGTCCTCAGCGTACAGTGACAATGATGCTGAGAACTCTACCCCAGGGTCACAACTGACAGCTGAGGAATTGGTATTCTGTGTGCCTGACTTAGGGCATGTACTCATTTTTGTTTGTTTGCTTGTTTTTTTTTTTTTTTAAGATTTATTTATTTTATTGGAA